CTAAGCAAAATTATTTGAACTTGCATCAAATTTTATTTCTTCGTGCTGCTGAAAGAACGTTTTAACTTGTTTCAAATTAGGCATAGGATTTTTTTTATTTAAATTGATTTTATAATCACTAATCTGAATCTCAATCAATCTTGGAATTATATACATGCCTCAACAACTGGCGTGTATGCCCTGATTTTGCTAGATTTGGTTAGAATATTGACTATGAAAATAATTGTAGCTATGACAGAAAAACTATTATATAGCTTTCAGATTTGGTAGATTTTTTTGACGATTACCACGTGCGATGAAACAAAATGAGTAAATTTGTAAGCAACAGTCGATTGACATCCTATTTTTTGTCGATTAACATGTGTGATATTGTACTACAAAAAGTATAAAGGTGTCAGATCTTTACCATAAGCCATAATAAGCAATACCATGTATTCTGCTTATGATACTTAACATTGAAACATTTTCAGAATTAACTCATCATCATTTCTACATAATTACTTCCAAATTAAACGCAGCAGTCGGGTAATTAAAACTGTACTCACAGATGTTAATACAGCGTTGTTAGTGTACGCCTCAACTTGTTCTGTATTACTCGAATGATACAACCTGGATATCTTTCAGATCAGCATGAAGACGTGAGTTCTAGGTGAAAGTGTATAATACTCGAGCACATATTCACTTACCATCAACTAAGATTCTAGCGAAATTCCCAGCGAAATGAGAATGCGGAAGACTCGGCAAACTAGATTTATTGTAAGAGATGATAAAAGAGTAAGAAGAAAGTTGTAACAAATAATAAAATGATATAAAAAGGTACAATTATTATAAACACTTTCTATAAAACTAAATAACACAATACACAATACTCACCCCAAAAAGGCATATATAAGTATACAAAATTAATAATAATCGAATAGGGAATGAAGTTGATTTGTGATTTATGGGCACGTCCCCTGGTTTCAAGAGCTTTGATTGGAATGACCTATAAAACAAACGTAAGAATAGTGCAGCAAAGGGAATTCGAGAACGATTCGAAACTTTAAAAATAAGTGGCCACAGGAACCAGAAAATGATGATAAATCGATGACGATGAATTATGAACAAAAATCTATCTTACTTAAACATTGTAAAAACAACTAATATCCGACGCAGATAAGTAGAGTCGTATTGGGTGTTATGTGCGCTTACTGTACTAGGTACATGAATAGGTGATTGGAAACTCATGTAATCTAATAGGTGTACACGGCTAGGCAGCTGGAGTGTGTATTTCGTAATGGCATAAAATGTTATTTGCACGAAGTGATTTTTTTATATTTATTTGTACAGCTTCCAGACACACAGTTGCACATGCAGACTTACTCACTCAATGGGTTTGTTCGGTCTTAGTGAAATGCCGCGGAGGTATATTGGAATCTGATTTTATATAAAATTAAAACTCTTGTGTAAATATGTAGTTTTAATTTTAGAAATTTGTCCGTGTAACTTTGCACAAAATGCACCCTGATTTAATTTGCATATTTATATGAGTCATTCTGTCAAAGATTGTTCTGAATTACCTGATTCAAATAGGTAGTTAAGTTTAACAATGTTTGACTTATAGTTAATGATTGATGATGATGTATTAAAGTGTAATGTATCAGTGGCGTCTATATGTAAATTACGTAATAAGCTGATTTAAAATAGTATCCGTTTTTTTAAATACAAACTAAATATAACGAATAATATATAGATAGGCCTTTTGACGTGAAAGGGAAACTGGTCATTTTAGACGTCTTACAATAACGTAAGTGCTGAAACTGAAGAGGTACCAACTTATTTCGGCATTCCTTTTCTTTTACATCTTTTGTCTGTATTTTTACCTAAGCTCTCCGGCTGATTTCAAGCGTTTGGACGGGACATTCCACGTCTAACAATGTTAATATGTTTAATACCTGACTGCCTCTGTGGCCGAATGGTTACCATGCCGGACTGCCACGCAGAGGTCCCAGGTTCGATTCCCGGGAAAGAAAGAAAAAGAAATATTTGGATTACCTACATTTATTTCTCTCGTGAGTTTGGGTGTAATTTGTGGTTGTCTATGTGTGTGTCCATAGCACCCGCGACACAGGGTTTCCCTAGTGCGGGGCTATGTTGAGTGTGTGCGTAGTTATTATTATTATTATTTAATTTAATTAATTAATTTAATAGTTAATATTTTACAAAAAACATTATGAGATGCAACAAAGGCGAATTTAATTATAAATTGCACGTATGCGATAAATAAAGGTTGCATTAGTTTTACATAATATGACATTAATAAAATAATTGTAAATAATATGTCCAAGGACAGTAGAACCGCTGGAAAGTTGGGAAACACCAAACAATGAATGTCAGAGGTGCAGAAACTTCTCAATAGCTAGTATGAAAGAGCTACCATTATAATAATAATAAATTAATCACTCTATAGCTTCGAAAATTGTCATGACTGTGTAGAGCGACATCGATTTTCATACAAGAGATCTCAAAACTATGTAATTACAGAAATTCTAGAAAAAATATTGTACAAGAATACGTATATAAGAAATTCTTGCAATGCGTAAAGCACAAAAAAAAACATGTCAAAAAGAAGTAATTTGATAATGCTTCAGATAGCGGCAATTGAACGGGCTTTCATTCGTTTTTACGTTGTTTCTTAGTGAGTGTCTTTTTTTAGGCAATTTCCGTCAAGGGAGCCACAGAACGAAACGCGAAACAAACAAATCCCTCTTGGAGTATTTCACACGGAACTGACTCGAAAACTGTCATTTTGTTAGGAAAACTTGTGTGGGTTTGAGTTCTATCCGAACGTGTTAGGATAATATAGAGAGTATCTAAAAATCTAAAGTACCTCAAACTCTTTTTCGAGTTTGTGACTAGAGATGGCAAAAAATACAAATATGATGCTTTTAACAATGACCCGAAACATAAATTGAGGGTACTGCGCGCCGGAGGCATTTTCTAAGCGACTGCTTTCCATTAGAGGGAGTCTGGTCTTTCAGTTGTTCGTTATATTAAATAAAAATATATGATGTGGTTTTACAGAAGTCTCGTTAAAATTCCTTTTTCGAGAACGCAACGGGCACGGATGCCTGAAATACGAACCTTAAACTGGTGGTAACCGCAGCAACTCCCTAATTTACATTTCTCACTAGAAAATGTTTTCGTGGAATTTTCTTTTTATATATAAAATCTAGCTAAAAGTATTGTTTCGTGTATTGTGTTATTTTTCTGTCAGAAGAAGAGTTAAGTACGGTGGGTAAAAATGATGTAGATAGATATGTATGGGAAGTGCTCCGCATCAGTTTGCAAATTTTAGCGATTCCTTTAAAAACGTTCTTAGCGCTTTTTATAAACAGACACAATCAAATAATCTAAATTTGAATTAAAAAAGAAAAGTTTTACTCTATGTAAAAGCGGCAAAGTCGTTTAGTATCCCGTCGTTATTTGCGAAAGATACCATTTCTATTAACGTGTACAAAATATACTTAACCCTTATCTACACAAATTGAGGTCTTAAATATATTACATAGATAACTTACCACTCATAAATAAATGTTTATATACTATATATAAGTCACGATACTCGTATGTACAAAGTATTAACTATAAAGTATGTTCATTGTTTGAGTAACCAAAAAATATGTTTGCGAGTTTTTAAATCTATAGTTTTTTATAAGCTATAATGAAATATTTGTAAACAGTATTCAATATATATATGAATTTCAAAACTTTCAAAATATAAACCTCATTATATTCTGGACAATAAAATGTGGAGATCTTTAATAAATAGTTTATAATACTGATTGACCGTTGGTTTTGCATAGCTATGCGTGAATTTTTTTTAACAATTTATTTGTTGTCGTTAGTTGTATTCATAAATAAATAAAAAAACAGAACAAATAACTATTCACGAATTAAACGAGAAACTATTTTTTATGGCTTGATGGTTACGTGTATGTATTTTTTAAGATAACGGTGCTTTTTAATGTTCAAGAAGGCAATGTGACTATTTTAACGTACCTTATATCGAACTTAAAAGACTATGCATTCAAATATATGTATACAGAATGGCTGCTGAAACAACAGAAGACTTCGTGCTGTTGGTTGAAGGTAAATTAGGTTCTGTTAAATTAATACGGGTCATACACAAAAAGGGAAAAAAAAGTGTTCCGGCTACTTCAAATGAATTTAAACATTGTCTAGATTATATTATTTGACCATGAAAACTAATTACTTTTTGAGGACCATTTGCATCTAAGTGATATCATTAGATTTCTTGCAACTATATGAAACAAAAAGTATCTCGTCCTGTAGACTGTTCGGATGGCGAATGTGAAAGTTTGAAAGACAATTAAAAATATATAAAATTGCATAAATTAAGTTTCTTTTGTTTTGTGTTAGCTGTCATTTAAAATTAAATACATTCCACTGTAAGGTAAAATATCTATATTTTTGGTTAAAGATTTATAACAAAAATATGATTATAATAAATAATATACAATTAAATTTCATTCTCTACCTGTTCTATTCTATATATGTAATAAAATGCTTTTTACACTTTTTACTGCATGGTCGGTGCGTGTATCATTTGTAGTTTTGTATAAAAATGTTAACTGTAATTTCTGTAGTATTGTATATAATAGTGTATAATTGTGGTGAGTGGGTGGTTCCTCAATTATGTACTTAATTAGAAACTGCATACTGCGGTCTGTGATTTAGATTTTAAGCCACCATTTTAAGTTTTTATGTATCGTTGTAGTCTTGAAGAATAAAATCTTTTTATTTTACGCTTTGCCATAAAAGTCGTATTCCTGTATAATTTACATATGTGTCAAAGAGAGACTGGTCAGAGCAGTGGCGCATTTTAAATAGTAACTTGGTATGGACTTTATTTGACCTCTCGCTCCAGACTACGGACCGAAAGATCTCGTAAATAATAATAATAAATCTAAAATACGTGTCGTGTTACTATTTCATACCTCAATTACGGGGGTGACTCGGTGCATAGCTCGATGGGCTACTCTGGCGGTATTTACTACAGCAATACTACAGCCCGTGGGCGGCCGACAACGACGGGCCGTTTACCCCCGGTCAGTTGTACGTCTGCTGCACTTAAAATTGTCAACAACTGTCACCAAGTACTTTTCACAGGCACAAATAGTAGTATGTGCAATAGTTAATAAGAGTTTCACTATATGGTATTCAATATTTGCCGGTCGTAATTTGTTTATTGCGTGACTTTGGTTAGCTCGAGTCGCGTGTCTCTGGCATGTATCACGTAGGCGAGCGTGTCGCGTCTACCGCGTCCGGTGCGCAACAGATACGCCGCGTACGTACGGCGGCTGGCGGCAGCATCGGCAGCGACGGCGGAGGAACCAGGGGCGGGCGGCGCGCGCCACTCCCGCGTCTCGCCCCGCGTCGGCTCTCTGACGTCACCACGAAACCTCCGAAATCCTCACAACCAAATGTTCATCGTATTGCACCGTCTCGAGCTCTTTAACTAAAAGCTGAAATTCAATGTGCGACCTTTATTTGATACGGGACGCGAAGCAAACGACACTGAAAAAAACCTTATTCGCAAAGCGTATTTATTCTTTCTCGTTCAGGATTAACGTCTGGTATGTAATACGTCTCGTAGAGAGTACGGTATGAGTAAATTATGATACCGATTAAATTAAAATTAATTACGTAGCTAGAGCGTTTTATAAGAAAGAAAACTCGGTAGGTACTGTATTATAAGAAGGAACTTAACATTAAGTTTTCAGCTGTAGTTCAGAAGGGTTTTGTAGCTTGTAACATGTCCCACTACTAGACATTGAATCTTCTCAAATATTTGTGTAGGTATGTTTGTTGATTGTTTTGAGTCATCGATTGTGAACAATAGAAAGTAACAAAATTCATCTATGGGACGGTAAAACGCAAAAAAAAGAACAATAGCATCAATGAAGCAAGTGCTGGTGATGCTGTAATGTAACCGGGCGCAATAAACGACCTTTATAAGACCTTTAATCCACTTAAGAGTTTATATAAGCTCCAGTTCCAAGACGACTCTGGACAGAGTTGCGCCTATTGTCGACGAAAAATATTACTTCCGATAGTCGCCGTCCGTCTGTTCAACTGACGATGTGCTCGCCCGAATATACATTTTTATTATCTAACAAATATATTACTGTCTGCCAGGTCATTGAGCAATCTATATTTTCGTTAGACTCGCGGAGAATATACCTTTTAGTATGTATAGTTGAAATATCATTCCGTAGATTATACTTGTTATTCAATAAGTCACTTTGACTAACTTGCACAAACAGTTAACAGTTAAATGAAAGATAATTACGGTAAAATAAACATAAATATAAAAAAAAAACCTCTGTCTCTTTTACCTTCTTTTTGTGATACCAAGTGAGGAGACGAACAAGTCGTGCGCCGGGTGGTAAGCGACATGCCTGTCCCTAACAGTTGCAGTGCCGCTCATAACTTTAAATCACAAAGATCTGAGGGGCACTGTCACTGCTCCCATCACCTTGAGACATGAGTTGAAAAGACTCATGTGCTGTAATTTCACCAGCACCGTTACTCTTGAAAACCGAAACGCAATAATGCTCACAGTAATACTCACATTACTGCTTGGCGGCAGAAATAGGTAAGGTAAGGCAGTACTTCCCTGAACTCTTTCACGAGGAACTCTACTGCTACTAAAATCACATTATATCGTACTAAAAATAATATGATTGTTCAAAATTAATTGTGAGTCGCATCAAGGCACTATCAATATTTAATCCCATTTCGCTTCTGAAATAAAGTTACGAAACTATTTCTATGAATTAGGGTATTTTCACAAAACAGCACATTCACAAAAGTTCGTTGTGATATAAATATCTTAAAAGGCTCACCGGGAGGTTGCGAGGTTCTTATTCCGAAAAACATATTTTCCGCCGTACACGACGATGACAGCGCCCCGTCAGTCTATGTTTACCGAACATCAGCAGGCGAGTTGCTAAGACGACAGTCTAGCTTTTACAACAATATTATAATAATTTGTGTGAAAAGCGAAATGGATATTTTTTTAAATCCCATTTTCGTTTGTTCAATTTCCATTGTTTGAAAAGGGTGTAACAATTAACATCTCTAAACAACTCCATCAAAATTTTATACTTATTTTAAAGTAAATATTAGAATAATTCTGCAGGAAAAGTTGAAAGACCAGTTCGACTAAATCTACGCAGAGTAAGAAACAAAATTGACATTTACGTCATTAACGACGTGATGACTCACAATACCATTTGGCAAATCAGAAACACGTAGTTACAATCAGTGGCGTTAAGCGCCTTGATGAGGCGTAACTATTCGATAACCAGAGAGTGTTGTGAGATAAACACGTATAGATAGCAAGGAGCCTGAAATCGACGGAACCGTTCGCCTAGATGCGGCATTAATAACAGTTGATAGTTGGTACCCGAGTTAGCACTATCCCTAATGTGAAATTGAGCTTTATGACATTGCGAAGCTCAAAACTATACAATTCAACTTTTCCTTTGGAACATCACTTGTACATGGCAATCGAGTAGTTTTGGTAAAACGGCAGCTTTACTAAATAAAAAAGGGAAAATATGAATTTAAAAAAATATTTTTTTCATATTTCATATTCCGATGTAGAAATTTCAAACAATAAATAAGTGCCACTGTATAAGTTTCATTGTACCGGCACTCGATTGAACAATCGTTCAAAGATTTAGAAAATTTAAGAGTATTGTCGCTAAAAGGGCGCGCGACCTTTGGCATTCTAGGAATTACTGGCAGGAAACCGCAGAACAAAGGTTGTATGCGAGAGAGCCGCGCTCCGCTCCTGCACTCCGTCGCCCGCCGCCTGCCCCCCCGTCGCCTGCCCCCCGCCGCACTGCCAACCAACATCGCTGTGGTCGCTCCTAAATAATTAAGCATAGTATAGCACTTACGCTAACGCACTTTGCACTATTTACTTTTTGTTAGTTATTTTTTACGCTACACGCGAATTCATAACAACACTGGCCCTATTTTATTTTTGGAACACGAAAGTCGCGTAATGGCATACCCTCGTCAGAGCATAATAGGATAATATTTTGTCATTTTATTTTAGGTCGTAGCTATTACTTTAGGTCGTACCTAAAGAAACATAATTTATTCGCAAATTTACTGCAAGAATACCTACCTAATGATGTTACAACACGCTCTCTGCAAGATTGATTGTATCTCATAAAATATGCTGTGTAAAAATAAAAAACAAGACATTAATTCTAAATAACGCTTAATCAAAGCACGGTCATGTACATTATACAAATAGGTACTCGTAAGGTTGCCTCGTAACAATAACAGTGGTTTAATTTTAATGTAAACTAGTATAATGCTCCTATGTATGTACATGCTTTGCGTTTGGAAATTTTTTAGTTTATATTTTGTGAGCATTTAACGTTAAGGGGCATACAAATTACAAAGATAAAGATACAAAGATCAAACAACACAAAGAAAAATTCCTTTAATTTTACTGGACTCGAACCAACGTCTGTTGCCACACCGGGGCCACCACGCTTCAACTGAGCTAAGTTAATTTAAATTACTTGCATTATACGAAATGGTTATGGTTATGGTAAGTTTGTTTTAAACATTGCATCTCGTCGCGGGACGTCGCTTAAAAGTTGATACCTAAAATAAAAAAATATTCCTTTTACTGTGCTACTTTGAAAACTTGTTGTTTGATAAGTTTGACTTGTTGGCTGCAAAGTTGTTGTTTGACACGTGTGCTTGTATTGAAAGTTGAGCAAGCGAAGGAAGCTAATATTGAACCACGAAGGAAGCGACTGGTTCAAAAATAGATTCTAGCATAGCGAAGGTTTCAAGGCACGAGACGCCGCTTTGCTGCCGAGCGAAACACACACCTTTTCACCTCACTATAGCGAGGAAATTGGTAGATGAAAGAAAAACAGTTGAATTGTGTTACATAAATAAGTAATGTACGACAAATCGCGTAGCTGAAAGTGCATTAACTTTTTTTTCATCGAAAAAGAGTTAGGTGCACCACAGTCCATCGTCAAGTTCGAATTTCAAAAACCTTTTCCATGCTAGCGTGCAAAAAACTCTTTTGCACGCAAATTTTTTTCGAGGAAGGAAGCCTTTCCGAGCTAGTGAGGTGAAAACATAATTATATTAGTCAATGAAATTATTAAAACGATATCCAACGCAACGTTCGACACAATCAAAGCAAAATAAATAAAATAAAGGCTTTGTTAAAGAACGATCGATAACGACGAATTTAGTTGCATTCACGGAAGTGATTTCTGCATCTATTGATTCTCACCATCAAGTCGATGTCATATATATGGATCTTAGTAAGGCCTTCGACAAGGTATCACATAACACACTACGTAAAAAACTTTCCGTTTATGGCATTGGTGGTTCTCTTTACAAATGGAAGAAATTGTATTTGGAAGACAGATTATTTTATGTGGTTATCAACGGTTATCGTGCTTAATTGTAACGAGCAACATCAACATCAACAACATGGGGTGCCCCAGGGCTCGCCCCTGAGACCAATTTTATTTAATATATTCATGAACGATCGTCATTTGAAAATTAATAGTTCTTCTCCCTTTGTGTACGCCCATGACTTGAAAATTTCTAGGGTCATTTTAAGTGACAATAACTCTAAGCTTCTTCAAACTGACTTAAATAATGTGGTACATTGGTGTAACAGCAATGGTATGGAGTTGAACGTTGCAAAGTGTACCCACATTAAATTTACTATAAATCTTTCACCTACTAATTACTACATTAGAGGGACACTTCTGGTTGAGTCTGATATTGTTAGAGATCTCGGTGTGATACTTGACGAAAAATTCGCTTTCGTACCTCATATTGATAAAACCATAAAAAGTATTTCTCTTATCTTAGGTTTCATACTCAGAACCTGTAAAGTGTTTAAGAGTCCGAAAACAAAGTTAATACTCTATAACACCTTAGTCTAACTATATTGTAGCACTGTGTGGCGTCCATATTTCGCCTCTCACTCACTAAGATTCGAGAGCACACAGAAGAGGTTTGTGAACACAGGACAATCTAAAAAACTTCGTTCATACAAATCAAGACTCACAAAGTTCCAAATGCTGTCGTTGGAGTGGCGACGGGACATTTTAGATATGATGTTTTTATATAAAGTAATAAATAATCAAATTAAATGCAGTCCAGTTCTAAACCTCATATCATTTAATGTTCCCCGAAGACTGTCCAGATTTCCCATTAAGCCTCTTTGTAAGCCTTTTCGCAGGACTGTTTTAGGCGCGAATTCTCCCAAGGTTTGCCAGTTGTACAATGGTC